AAGGGTGGGAGCGCAGCCAATGATGGGAGTGGTGGGGAGTAGCTGATAATACAGGATGAAGCTTCATCACATGCCCAACACTCACCTCCTGTAACGGCCTGGGTCCTAACGGCCACAGGACCAGGTACGTTCTGCCGGTCCAGGGGTTGGGTCCACAGATTTAAAGTATATAGAAGGATGTACATATTTATTTGCAAAATGTATACCATTTTATAGAAAGGACTAAGCAACTTGGATTTTGGTATCCATGAGGGTCCTGAACCAATCCCCTGTGCTACCAAGAACAACTGTATAGTGGTTCAGATTTATGTATCAACATGAATAAAAGTTTAAAATTTGCATGGAATGAAAAATACCTATTCGGATAGTATTAACCATAGAGAAGAGGAAGGAGAATGGAATGGAGGATGGGTACACAGTGACTTTCAGCTATATCTTTTTCCCTAGCAGTTTCTTTCCATTTATTTGGTGGTGTTTTTGTGTTTTAATTTGTATAACTTTTTGTTTTTAGATAATATAGATTCACAGAAAGATACAAAAAATGTATAGGAAAGTCCCATGCAACCCCCTCCCAACCACCTACCTCCACCAGCATCTCCACAACCACGTATGATATCAAAAATATCTGTGATATTTCATTAATCTGATATAATAAAAATTCACTATATGAATATATAATAATCTGTTTTTCCGTGTATGTCCATTCCTATAGTACTTTCATATATGCAACTGCTTTTTAATTATTGTAATATTTTTCTTACCATATAAATTAAGAAACTTTTGATACTAAGAATGTGAGTAAGGTAAGTGATTTCCACATGGTTACACAGCCAGCCAAAGGACAACAGCTATTTCAGGTATAAACAGGACTGCTCAGTAAATTCTGCTTGAATGATGAAAAAGCATTCTCATTACAAGAATGTAAACTATTTAAACAAATCTCACCTTAATAATATTTCTTCTATAAGAGAATTCAAGATTATGTACTCTTTGAGGAAAGGAACAATGTCTTATTTGTCTTGAACCGTGATTATGCCTAATACATAGGTACTCAAAAATTTATCAAGAAAAAGGATGAACAGTGGAGCTATCCATTATACTCTTATAAACATTTGAAATGCCTACTGGCATGTGAAAAGTATTTTTGACAACTAAAAAGTTATTGGTAACCTTAAGGAAAATACCTTAAGTAGGCTGGAGCCGGAATGGACTATGGAATTTGAGAAATGAATTGCTTGTGAAAAAGGAACATAGTAGAGAACAATCTTTCAAATTTGGGGGTTTTATAAAAGGTCAACAAGGTTCTTTTGTTTTTAGGTTTTTATTGGGACAGAGTCTCTCACTCTGTCACCAGGCTAGAGTGCAGTGGCGTCAGCCTAGCTCACAGCAACTTCAAACCTGTGGCACAAGTGATCCTCCTGCCTCAGCCTCCCAGTAGCTGGGACTACAGGCATGCGGGACATGGCAATTTTTTTCTATTTTTTTAGTAGAGATGGGGTCCGGCTCTTGCTCAGGCTGGTCTCAAACTCCCGACCTCAAATAATCCTCCTGTCTTATACCCCCAGAGTGCTTGGATTATAGGCCTGGAGCCACCATGTCTGGCCGGATTTTTTTTTGTTATTGTTTGAGTTAGCCATTTTTTACATTTGAAGAAGAATCTAATGTAGAAAAAAATTTTTGGCACAAGAAAAGCCGAGATAAATATTAAAAGCAAGCTTTTAAAATGTAGGACTTAATGGGTTCAGAGAAAGGGGAAAGGTTTGTCTTGGACCAGGAGAAGTTCATGCTTTTTCTCTTAAAAGATGAAGGAAAAGAAGGTGTGTGAATATCTAGGAGAAATTGAGGAAAACAAGTCAAAAGTTGAAGAGAAAAAAAAAAAAACAGAAAAAAATTGTTCCCAACGGTTATGGTGAGGGGGAAAAAAAAAAAGAAAAGTTGAAAAAGGCCTAGATTACAATTTTCTCAAGTTTTTAAATAGAAGGTAGGATGGTGTTCTTAATTCGAGAATTGCTTGATTAAAGATATATAAATAAGAACATTTCTGTATATTTAGAAGTGATTACTTTCACTCTGTATAAGAACTAGATTGACATCACTATTTTGCACTTTA